GGCACCCGTTTGAGCAGAGTGAGGCACAGCATGGTGTGATGCAGATGCTCTGTGCTATGTGCCCACCTGTGTCTGCCAAACTGCTCTGGCACAGAGGGGCTCCATCCCTAGGGTCTCCTCCTGTAGGCTTGCAGGAGGACCCAGGTTCCTCAGCTGCTCCCTTTGCTCTGTGCCTCTCTGCCTCCTGGGAAGTGCCTGCTCCGTTGAGCTGTGTTTTCAGTTCCTCAATTTGCCTCTTGTGGGTTGTTTCTCTCCTTCATTTCACAGCAACCTGCTCAAATCCTGCCCAGATCAATACATCAATGAACACTGGCACAGGGTGCCCAGAGAAGCTGTGGCTGCCCCATCCCTGGCAGTGTTCAAGGCCAGGTTGGACACAGGGGCTTGGAGCAAGCTGCTCTATGGAAGGTGTCCCTGCCTGTGGCAGGGGTGGGAGCTGGGTGAGCTTTAAGGTCCCTTCCAACACAAACCATTCTATGATGATTCTATGAAATCCTGCCCCATGGGCACCCACACAGGGCAAGCAGAGGCCAGCCCCATTACCAGGCAGAGGAAGCAGGGAAGTGATGTGCTGTAGGCAGATATGGCAGCACTGCTGCCGTTGGGGCTGCCGCAGCTGTGACATGTGGCAGCCCTCCCAGAGGAAAGAGCACTTCCGTCAGCAGATAGAGGTGGAAGAAGGGCCATGTCCCCATGGTGAGTCACATATCATCACATTTCAAGAGCAAAAGCCACCAGTGGTGCTGAGAAAGCTGCTAGTACTGGCTGCCTGCTAGCTCTCATTAAGACTGTATTTCACTTTCACTGCTCATAATTATGAGCTCTTTGCTTCTAGCAACAATGCTGTGCTTCATCTGGACCCTACAACCATGCGGGTCCCAGGCAGTCCGCAGGGTCCTTTCTGATGATGTGCAAAGATCATGTGAGGTGACCTTCTCATATATGTGGTACTTGTACACACCAAAGGAGAGATTGCCTTGGCACCTGCACCTTTCAGTTACTTTGGAAAGCGTCATGAGATTAAAGCCTTAAATCTGATCCCTGTAACACAGCTCCGAGCCAACAGGCTGCAGTCGTAGGTGGCAAAACTGCACCAGTACCTAGTGCTTCCACCTCCTCCGATCTCTGCTAAATGAGCTCTGGGATGATAATGGCTTCTGGGATAGTTGTAGACATTTTATTGCAGAAAACCATAGAATCACAGAACCCCAGACTGGTTTGGGTTAGAAGGGGCCTTAAAGCTCCTCCAGCTCCAACCCCTGCCACGGGCAGGGACACCTTCCACTAGAGCAGCTTGCTCCAAGCCCCTGTGTCCCACTTGGCCTTGAAAAAATCCTGACAGGCAACAACAGGCACATTGTATCTGGTTCTGGGCCATTTGGGGTGCAATGGTTTCTGCTGCGGCAATCTGGAGATCCAGCCCTCCCAAATGAGCAGTTTTGCTGCAAGATTGCAGATGACTGACATGCTGACTAGCATGACACTGGAACTTGCCGTCGCTCAGGGGTCCTCAGCCTCCAAGATGAGGCTGCATCTTTTTCAGGATTTCTTTCCTGCCACCACTGTGGCCTCACGCAGCAGCACTGGGGAGAGCTTGGGTGTTCCTTGTGGAGGACCTCAGCTCCAGAGGGAAGTGGCTACAGTGAGCCTATGGCAAGAGTTTTCCGTCTCTTCCTCCATTCTTCTACTGCCTTGTTGAAGACCAGTGCCCCATGGGAAACCTGGCAAGACCAGCAGCATGGCACCATCTCCTTCACCCACCCCTGCAAAGCAGGAACCGTTGCAGGCACTGCTAGTGAGACAGCATCCACTTGCGAGCATCCTGCAGTCCAGTTCTCGAGCTTTAATCCAGTCCTCTCTGTTGGTCACCATTTGGTGTCTGGGATGGAGCCTGCCTACAGGAATTTCATCCGCTTCCTCATAGAAAATGTGGTCCTCAGAGCTGTCTTCAAGGAAATGTGGTGAGCTTGCACAAGCAGGGATTATGAGGTTCAGGAATACATCTTGAGATGAACTTGCCAGACATTGCTTTGCCTGGTGCCCCTAGTTCTTGTGCTGTGAAAAGTGCTGAATAACCATTCTCTAACCACATTCCTGCTGCATCAGTACCTACACCCCTAGTGTGTTCCACCTCATTCATTTCTCTTCTAACACAGGCAGCCCTGATCTGCTCAGCCTTTTCTTTCAGGGATGCCATTCCCACCTCTGATCATTCAGCTTCCTCATCTCAGTGGCCTTTTCTGTTTCTGTTCTGGGCTGAGCACCACAACTACACACAGCTGCGAGCACCCTCCAGTTTATACAGGGGCAAGCGATGCTTTGTGCTCAAAGTCCGCTCCTTCCCTTGCAATTTCTGAAGCCTTTTTACATTTGAATTGTTCCTGAGCCTCCACCTGATGTTTTCAGAGAATTGCCTGCAATTGCCCTCAGATCTGCCTCTTGAGGAGTAATCACTAGTTTCGAGCCCCCCACTGTGTGCAGTATAGTTAGGGGTGCACTTCCTTTATCAACATTGAATTTCTTTTGCCACTTTATCACCCGCTCCCCCTGCAGCCTGAAGCCTTCTGAAGCTTCCTACAGACACTTTTGTGCATGACTGTTCTGAATTTTTTTCCTCACCAGAAGCTGCTGTCGCTGTGCTATTCACTGCCCCTTCTGAAAAACCCAGCCCCAGCAGAGATACTTGTAGCATCCGATAGGCCACATTGTGAACGTTAACCAGTTACTCTTATTGTTGCTTTGTAAGCTATTGATCTGTTACTACTTAGTCTCTTTGAGACTCTGTGATGGATATTCTTCCAAGCTTTTGGGATTACAGGATGTTGACCAGATCACTGTTGTCCACCTACAGTGCCTCTCCTTCCAACAACCGTAACAGGTTCCTGAGCCACAACTTTCCTCTAAAAACCTATACAGACTCTTCCTCAGGTTATTGTGTTTATGCACAAGGTCCCACAAATCCCATGTTTATTACAGTTCCCACCACTTGGTACAGTAATGATCTCTAACACCGAAGATCCCTAGATGGGTGGCCAAGCCTTCCGAAAGTGGACACTCTCTGTTTGTGCCACCTCCATTCCCTTGGTAGGCAAGTAACAGGTCACAGCAACCGTCAGCAGATCTGAAATGTTCTGGTGGAGCTTGGTGAGGGCTCCTGGGACCTCTCTGTCCCAACACTGTTCTCCCCCCAGACACAGAGGCGGTTTCTCCCTGCTGATGGTGTTGGGGTCATTTTGGAGTGTTGCTGTGGGGGCTCTGACCTCCAACCTCCCGTGTGGCAGTGCACATTTTGGGACACTTCTGGGACATCCACCTTGTGTTGCACTCAGGTCTACAACTCCCTTGATGTGCTCTCACTGTGTTGCATCCATATAGCTGTACCAGGCATTGCATGCGTTAGGATCCAAACAGCCAGTTACAAAAGCCCTGAGCACTGCAGCCTGCCCATTCCTCTGTGGGATCCCTGCTCTGGTCCATTGTTTGATGGGGAATGTCCTTCTGAGGAACCATCACCCCCTTCCCCAGGATGAGTGCCTTTCACTCAAGAGATTTCCCTCCTCTGCAGCACAAGGGCTGCTGGACCAGGGACGAGGGAGTTATGGTGTCCCTAAAAGCCTCACTGATGTATTTCTCTGCTTCCCTTAGACATATGCTGTCCCAGAGGACCAAAGTCTGCCTTCAGTGGTAAACAGATGGTAAATGATTCTGGGACAAAACCTGGAAAATCCCTTTTGCACAGCATGGCTCTGCATGGAGCGCCCCCAGAAACCCGGCGCATCCCCGGTATCTTTGTTTCTCTTCTGGCTTGTCTAGTTCTTAGTTTCCCAGGACGCCCACCTGCCGATCATCACTTTACAATGTCTGCACACAGTAGTCTTAAAATGACTTCTCTCTTCATTACCTTGACAGGCAGCTCAGGATGGGCTGACATGGTGGCGCTGAATCACAGAGCAGGGAAAGAGCAGCACAGATCTGCCTGAAAAGCAAAGAATCAGTTTCTAAGTGGGGTTTACACCCATCAGTGTGAAAATACCCAGACCAGCTCTTTGTACATGTGCTTCTGGCAGCTCTGAAAAAGACCCCGGATAGGAGCTCACTCCTCTGGAGCAGCAAAAGGCCCCACCAGTGTGCTACGGAGGTGCTCTGCTACACCTGCAAGCTGGATTAAAGCTCAGATGCTATGTTATTTTTATGCCACTGTTTATGCCGTGTTTTCATCAGAGGTACCTAAAAGCTGTCCTGGGTGCTCTCCAGACGTGTGTGCTTGTGCCAGGTTTTGGAGCTAGGGAAGAAGTAGCCAGAAACTAGAAAGAAAAAGAAGTGATTTAAGCCTGAAATTACATCCACTGTGTCTCTCTGTGGCTCTGGTCAGTGAGGAGATGCTTGTGACATAGGTCTGACTGGCATGGCACATGCTATGGCAACAGGTCTCAGTATTTATCAAAGAAGAGCACTGGAGGGGGCTGGTGCATCCAGCCCTGCCTCTGTCAGCATCTCTCAGGACACCTCAGAGGTGAAGACAACCCATTTGAAGGGCTGCATGACTACAAGGTGTGTAAATCTCACCACACCTGAGCTCACTGTTGTCATCTCTTGCATTCAGCTTTTGCATCCCCTTTCTTGCCATGTCAGCCCTTGAAGCAGACTTTTGGCCGGGCTGTTTCTCAGCACATGGCTCAGTAACTCCACATTCCTTGTGCTGAGCTGGGTGCCCGTTGCTATAATTTCACCTGTTTGTGTCCCTTAATCTGTATTTGTTCCCTTGGAAGTGCAGGGAGATACATTAGGGCAGAGGCACTGGGTAAATAGAGCCAGCGCGCCGGGAGCCGTGATTAACGCAGGTAAACAGAGCTGGCTGCAGCGCACCCGCGGCCGCTGGAGAGGAGGGGACAGGCACCCGCGGCCGCCCGCCCCGGCTTTGCAGGGCAAATAAAAGCCGGGGCCATCGGGCACATCGGCAGGAGCAGGAGTGGGGCTGAAGCTCGCGTGGCAGGGGGGCAGTGGCTGGTGCCCGGGCGCTGGGTCCTGGCCACAGTGTGCCATGGGCGGGATCAGCTGCCACCACTATAAATAGGGCTGGTGACGCCGCTCGGCAAAACGAAAGCTGACCCTTGGAGTGTGGAGGAGGCAGCGTGGTCCGGGGAAGGGAGAGCGGAGCCGAGGAGGAGGTGTGGTGTGGTGTGGTGTGGTGTGGTGTGGCTGTCCTGAGCTGGGGAGCCCAGCGGCACGTGCTCAGTGCCAACACAGCATCCACAGGGCTTTGGCACTTCCAGGACATGGACCTCAGTACTGGGGCAGGCCGGTGAAGGTGATGGCAGGAGCTCAGGTGGGGCTCCCCGTTGGGCCATGCCCCATGTCTGACTCTGACTCAGACTCCGAGGACACGGCTGTGGGTGGCACAGGAGCTGGTGCCAGGGCACAGAACCCCTCTCAGGTCATCCACAGTGGTCACTTCATGGTGTCGTCCCCGCACAGCGACTCGCTGCCCCGGCGGCGCCATCACCGCACCGAGCCCGAAGCAGCTGATCCCCGGAGCATCGACCCGACCCTCACCCGGCTCTTCGAGTGCATGAGCCTGGAGTACAGGTGAGTCCCAGGGATCCTTCGCTGGCATGTGTCTCACAGGCCCCCCTCGCTCTTTGAAGGCGTGAGGCTGGCTGAGCCCTACTGCCCATCCAGAAATTGATTGCAGCCTGGCATCTTCCTCTCCTTCTCCATTGGATTGCGATGTGCAATGTGCTCCAAACCCACCATCCTGGGGGGGCTGGGGGACAAAGAGCTGGGGTGGGTTCTTGGCTGTGGAGCCAGATGAGAAGTTCTTTCTCTCTTCACATGTAGCTTAACCCTTCTGCAACTTCCCATGAGATCTGGAGTCACCGCACCCAGCTGGGGCACCCTCATGGCCAGATCCTGCACTCTCTGTAGAGCAGCAATAATCCTGTGGGCAGCCAACACTCAGTCTTTGGCAATTCAGCCCAGAGCAGGAGTCCTGCCTTCCCGTCCTTGAGTCTGCCCACGTGTCCCGAGGTTATTCTAGGGCATGCAGCAGCACTTGGGGCTGGATGGCTGCACAAGGCTTTGTCCAGGGCCTTTGAAAGCATCCCTCCTTTACTCCTGCAAAATGGGATGGGTGACTGCATCATTCCCCCAACCACACACATCAGCCAAACTCAGGATGGTAGGGACCTGCTCATCCCACAGCCTCTCAGTGACAACAGCAGAGCCTGCGTCATGTCTCTTAGTGCCTTGGTTCACACTCTTGGACCCTCCCCTCTTTTGCCAAGGCCCCAGAGTTTTGAGTTCTCTCAAGCATAGCATCAGAGTCACTTGCTCTACTGGTGTCAGCACAAAACTGCTTACATAACTTTCCCAAAATGTCCAGGTGAAAACCTGGAATGACAATGCCCATGCAAAACCAAAACCTCAGCAAAACAGGCTTCAGGAGTTGTCTATCGCCTTGTTTCACACAGGGTCTCATTCCATTGCTGACCTTTTAGCTATGCCTTGAAGACCTTGAGTGCTGAACATGATGGAATATGTTGTCATGTTCCAGAGCAGGCCTGGTGACATGGGGCACTGGGACAGCATTCCAAGGGTACTCGCTGCCACATAGCTGTGTACACCTGGCCCATGGCCACATCACAGATTGCAGGGTTTGCTCATGGCCAGCATGGAGCAGCCTCCTCCAAGGTGCTGGTGACGCTGGCACTCTGTGGGACCATGGTGAGCCTCAGCATGGGGGGACAAGACAGGGGCAAGTCACCCCTGAGTGCCACACACAGAGGACATTCAGGCACTGTTGGCCACACTCCTTCCCTCTCCCAGCCCCACACTTGCTGTGTTCTTACCCTTGCAGCTTGGGGCTGGAGGAGCAGACCCTGCTCCATCCCAAGTGCTCAAGCTCTTGACTCCTGAGATGCATCACAGCCTCTGGATGCCCCCGAGCTCTGGTGCTCCCTGGGCAGAGGGGAAAGGAGCAGGGTGTAGCTGCCTTGGCAGTGGAGCAGACCACAGCAGCTGGACACCACCCTTGGTTGGCCATGATGTTGCAGGCAAGGCTCCATCCCTCCAGCTCTCTTCAGCCTCTCTTCTTCAGGCTGAACACACACGTCAGTCACCCTCCTCTTCTGTCATGTACATTAGTCACCAACCACCTTAGCACCCTGCTGCAGGATCACCCCAGTTTGTGAGCGTCCCTCTTTTGTCAGGGGCACCAGTCTGGACACAGTACCCACACTTGTCCTTCGCAGCGCTGCACGCAGAGAACTATCGCTTCTCCTGAGCTGCTGGCTGAGCTGTGACTGCCGCAGCCGCCCATCCCTTGCTGCCCAGGCGCACACAGTTTCAAAGGCAATTCACTGAACTCTCTCTAAACAGTATCATTTTCCATGGCTGTAGCTCAACTTTCATAGAATCATAGAATCACAGAATGGTTTCGGTTGGAAAGGACCTTAGGGTCATCTAGTTCCAACTCTCCAGATTCATGGGGGCAGTTGTAATTCCTCCCCTCTCTAAGTCTCCTCCATGGCACTTCACAGATGTTTTTGGCAGTCGTGTCTCAGCTTGAGCAATCACCCTGAGGATCTGATGTATTATCCCTTCAGGGGCAGGATTGAGCATCATCCCCTTGCTGGGAAAGGAGCCCTCTCTCCACATCATGGCTGGCTTCTGGCAGTAACTTGCTTCTTCAGATCTCTCAAAGAGAAGCAAACCCCCTCCTCCTCCTCCAGGTCTTCCTCCTGGTGCTGGGATGAAGCAGTTCCCAGGCCCTTTTTCCCAGTACCCATTTTCCAGGACACTTCCAGCAGCTCGCCTGCCAAAGACTTCATGAATGTCTTCCGCTCCTTCTCCTGCAACGTGCTGCATTTCTGAATCCCTTCTGAATCCCTTCCTTAGGCTGTTGTTTCTCCATGGGTTCACCTCCCTGCAGCCCCCTTGCCTTCATTCCCCCAAAAAGCGGAGCATGTGAAGCTGAGCTCCTTCAGGATCTCTTCACACTTTGGCCTTAGCATGGCCTCCCCACCCAAGCAAGCTCTTTCTCCCCGTGACTGCAGTGGGACTCCCAGTGTCCCGCCTGGCAGAGTTCACACACCTTCTTGTGACCCACTGCAGGGAGTCACTGGATGCCTGGCCTGGGGAACTGTCCTCCTGAAGGGAGAAAAACTGGGTGCAAAAACTGGCTGCAAATGGGAGCTGCAAACTGCAGCCACTCGTGGTGTTATATCTTGCACGTGCCTGTCCTGTGCTTCAGAAACCTTCTGTAGCTGCTCTTAGGGTGGGATGCAGATTTAACCTCCTCTGCTCCCCTGCAGATACTGAGAGGAGAGATTTAGGAGGCAGGGGCACCAGGCTGTTAAGCCACCTGGAGTATCAACCCTGCTCCTTTTGTGGTTTAAAACGAGGCAGGCTTCAGTTACACTCTTACACTCCCGACGAATCCATCCTCCTGGCAAGCTGATAGCAGGCTCTGAGGCTTTCCTAGCAGTGGAATGCTTCATATAGCTTTGCCATACTCTCTCATTGATTCTCTAATTCACAGCGCCTTGAACACTCATGCACCAGGGCAGAAAGCACCCAGGCGGAGATCACAGTGATACACACACTGAGCTGCCCTCTCCCGTTTCCTTCTCTCTGGATTATCCTGAATTTCCCTTTGCCCTCCCAGCAAATCACTCACCTCAGTCTCCCACAGCTCACCAGCGCTCGCCCGCAGCCCTGTGCATTAGCTCAGACCGGCTGGAAGCGCCTTGCACTGACGGGGCCACATCCTGGAATTGCTGGGTCCATCCCCACCATCTGAGGGGGCTTTGGACTCACCCGGACCTCAGAGTACCTGGGTGCTGCCTGTGCCCTGGCTGGACGGCGGCAGGAGCTGAGGGGGAGGCGGAGCTCGGTGCCGATGGAGCGGGACCCTTTGGGGCTCTGCGGTGGGTCAGGCAGTTTCTGCTGTGGATTATCCACATGAAGGGCAATAGTGAGTCAGGGGAAAGGAAAGGTTTGGGTGAACCCGTCCATGCTGAGCATGCTGTGCTGTCGCTAGTGGCAGGGAGCTCTGTGCCTTTTCTCTGTCATTTTCCAAGGATTTGGGGCTGATCCTGTCCAAGCAGTGGGCAGAGGAGCTGGCTGGTACTCAAGTCTGTTCCCACTCTAATGCACACGGGGGTCATATCTCCAGGGATCGGCAAGATACCCACCTTGGTTTGCAGCTATCCAGCTTCCTGGACAACTATTTGCAAGAGGACTTAGATCACAGAATCCCAGCCTGGTTTAGGTTGAAGGGACCTTAAAGCTCATCCAGTTCCACCCCCCTGTCACAGGCAGGGACACCTTCCACTGGAGCAGCTTGCTCCAAGCCCCTGTGTCCAACCTGCCCTTGAACACTGCCAGGGATGGGGCAGCCACAGCTTCTCTGGGCACCCTGTGCCAGCGCCTCAGCACCCTCACAGGGAAGAGCTTCTGCCTAAGAGCTCATCTCAGTCTCCCCTCTGGCAGCTTAAAGCCATTCCCCTTGGCCTGTCCCTACAGGCCCTTGTCCCAAGCCCCTCTCCAGCTTTCCTGCAGCCCCTTCAGGCACTGGAGCTGCTCTCAGGTCTCCCCTTGAGGAGCCTTCTCTTCTCCAGGCTGACCCAGCCCAGCTCTCTCAGCCTGGCTACAGAGCAGAGCTGCTCCAGCCCTCACAGCAGCTCCGTGGCTTCCTCTGGACTCACTTAAGCAGGTTCAACTGAAAGGACTTCTCATCTGGGGCACTCCATGCTTGCTCTGCAGGAAGGATGGTGGCTGCTCAAGAGGCAGAGCTGTGAGTGTAATAGCACTTCAGTCTGGGAGTAAATACACAGAGCGGGTCCCTATCTAATCCGCAGTACACCCTATTAACACCTTTGTTACAGCACTGCCCTCGAGTTAGCTCAGGCAGTGTGATGAGTGACCAAGCTGGAGCAGCAGCCTCTCCATCAGCAGAATGCGGTGAATTAGAAAAGCTCGTTTAGACAGTAGAGATTTGAAGGTGGATTTGAACACAGTCGGTTTTTTACTTGGAGGCACTTTTCAGGAAAATTGTGGTTAGATTTTTAACTTTCCTTTGTCAGACTCTGCATCTTAAAGCATAAAAAATCAAGGAAAAAACATTATTTTAGGAGCAAAAGCTGTGAGAAATGGAACATGAGCAGTCAGGACTTGCAGGGAATGCTGTCCTCTTTCAGCCACCCTGGGGCATGCCGCATCCCAACAGCCCTGCATCTACACCAGATCGTTCCTCCCCTCTCCTCTTGCTGTTGATGCAGAGCAGATTACTCACTTTGCCATGAAGGCAGGGGCTGCAACACCTTAAACTTTTGGACAGGCTGAATGAATCATGGAGCAAACCCAGGACCTACGGGACAAAACAGGGTCAGTGCTGACCCACACCAGGTTTGGTCTCAGGCTGAACCCTGTTCCCACCTCAGCCCATGCCCCCTTAGACGATGGTGGCACCTGCGTCCCCATTCCTCTGCAGCATGGGGCATCCTGGGACATCCCAAACCTTTCTCCTGTCTCAGCCTGGGGTTTGCATTCACCTTCCTGGGAAGGGTGGGGCCATTTCCAAGGCAAACCAGGGAGCAAAGATCAGCCTGATAAGCCCCAAACCTGAAAGGATTCTTAATGGGCAAAAAAGGCTGTTATGGCAAAGCCCAAAGGCAGCTCCCAGGACCCGCAGCAGCTCCGTGGCCACAACCCCACCAGCCCCAAGCGTGGCCGAAGTGCACATCCATGGGCTGCGGTCCTGCCCTCATGCTGCCTCCCTTGCCCTGGCTGTTGGTGGGCGGCACCGGTGAGGGTGGCCGGGTAGCCTTGACCGGCACGATATGGCCACGTGCCCGGGAAACCCGTCCCTTCCATTGGCTCCTCTGCTTGGCACCACCGCGCCGTTTGCCTTGTGCCAAGGGGGAAAGTTCAAACTCCTGGTGATAGCAGAGTGGCCAGAGCACAGCCACGTCCTTAACTCTCTGCAGGCTGGAGCCTCAGGGACACCGGTCCTTCCCCAGCCCCTGGGGCCGCAGGGTGGGCTGGGTCCCTGTGGGGACACCATCCCCATCCACCCCATGGGTGGGAGCACCCGCTCCCAGACACATCCCTGCATCAGGCTCTGGAGCCGAAGAGGTCCCCATCCTTGTTCCCTGCAGTGAGATGGGACAGCATCGCTCTCCTCTCCCCTCTACTCTGGCACGCTTCCTCCAGCTGGACCAGGACAGGGCTCTTTCTGCCTGCACTGCTGCCTGTTCAGGCTCTAACCTCGGGGGCAGCAGCCTGTTTGCAATCCAGCTCCTTGCTGGGGAGGGAGGGAGCCCCACTTGCTGGGCCGTGCCAGATTTCAAAAGGGCAGGTTAATGCAGAATGGGCCAGCCTTTGTTCAAGGATGCTCTGAGGTTTCACAAGCTTGAGTGAACAAGTGTGCTGCTGCTTAAAGCATTACCCAGCCACTGCTTTCGTCCCTAGCACCTCCCTGGGAACATGGACTGACAGCATCTTGAGGGACCTAAGAGATGCTGGCAACGAGGGAATACAGCATCCCTAAACCCAGCCCAGGCCCTACTCCTCCTCCATGCATGTGCCCCACATAAGTGGGACCCAAAATAGCACTGAGCTCTTTAAGGGACAAACTCTCAGCATGGACTTCCTGGGGAGGGATGCTGTGCAGCCTCCAGCCTGCCCGAAAGGGCCCCTCCGTGCAGCCAACATTGCCCCGAGGCCATGCCCTCATGGGTGGGAGAGCTAGGGCAGCTGCTGAACTCGCAGGCAGAGGGGAAAAGGACCCCAGAGTAAGGCAGAGAGACCCCAGCATCCCCACGGAGCTGCTGGGGCAGCAGGACCCCGAGGACCTCCCTGGTCAGAGCACAGCAGGTCATCTCCCCTCAGCTGGAAGGAAACAAGACAATCAGTGAAATGAAGCTGCCTGCACGGCGGGCCCCATTAGGGACATCACTGCACCACAGAGAGCTACAGAACAAACACAGCTGCTGCTGGGAGCTGGGAAACGGGAAGGAGGGAGGGCTGGGGGCTGCGATGGGGGCACAGGTTTGTAGGGCATGGGTGTGGAGAAGAGCTCAGGGCAGTGCTGGGCTGAGGGCAGGGCTGGTTCCGCTCTGTGCCCGCCTTGGGGCACAAGTGAGTGTCCCTTAATGTCTATAACGTACTCCAGTTTGCTCTCTTGCCTTCCCAGACCCATGCAGATGCCTGCCCTTCTACCTGCCCCTGCCCCACCTGAAGGGAGATTTTCCAAGCCTTGCCTGGCATTAAAAGGAGTGTCAGAAATAGAACCACAGAATCCCAGCCTGGTTTGGGTTGGAAGGCTCATCCAGTCCCAACCCCCTGCCACGGGCACGGACACCTTCCACTGGAGCAGCTTGCTCCAAGCCCCTGTGTCCAACCTGCCCTTGAACACTGCCAGGGATGGGGCAGCCACAGCTTCTCTGGGCACCCTGTGCCAGCGCCTCAGCACCCTCACAGGGAAGAGCTTCTGCCTAAGAGCTCATCTCAGTCTCCCCTCTGGCAGCTTAAAGCCATTCCCCTTGGCCTGTCCCTCCATCCCTTGTCCCAAGCCCCTCTCCAGGTTTCCTGCAGCCCCTTCAGGCACTGGAGCTGCTCTCAGGTCTCCCCTTGAGGAACCTTCTCTTCTCCAGGCTGACCCAGCCCAGCTCTCTCAGCCTGGCTCCAGAGCAGAGCTGCTCCAGCCCTCGCAGCATCTCCATGGCCTCCTCTGGCCCCGCTCCAACAGCTCCATGCCCCTCTTGTGCTGCTGCCCCAGAGCTGGATCAGGGCTGCAGAGGGTTCTCCCCAAGCAGAGGGGGAGATGCTGCAGTGAGGCAAGAGCCCCAGTACCACATCTCCCCAGGCGTCTTTCCTGGGCAGGAAACTTTCTTTGCATCCCCTGGGGCCAGGATGGAGACGTGCTGGTGGGAGGCAGCGGGATCCCTCCCTGGTGCCGGGTTTGAGCCTCAATCTGCTTTAGTCCTAGGGGCTCGAGAAGCCTCATGTGGGTCTGTGAAGCCCATGGTTTAGGTCTGTGCTGCTCCCAAGGTGAACGTGACCTCAGGGTGCTCTGATGGGAGTTCCCATAGGTGCCTGGCTAACAGCCTGCAGCACGGCCACATGGCAGCTCCTGCCCCAGATGTGCCACCCGGCTGGTGGGCTGGTCCCCTCTCGAAACACCTCCCTCTTGTGAGACCCTGAACTGGGCAGGCTCGGGGATGGTGCCCCTCAGCCTCTCCTTCGCTTGGTGTTTTAGTGGGAAGCTGGTGTCTCCAAAGTGGAAGAATTTCAAGGGGCTGCGGCTGCTTTGCCGGGACAAAATCCGTCTCAACAATGCTATCTGGAGAGCATGGTACATCCAGTGTGAGTACAGAGCCAGATCCCCTGTGCCTGCTGAGTGCAGGCAATGCCAGGCGGGATGGGGCTGCCCAGGGATGGACCCACGGGTAAAGCCAGCTGTGTGCTCCCCTGTGCAGATGTGGAGCGGAGGAAGAATCCTGTGTGTGGCTTCATCACCCCGCTTGAGGGCTCGGAAGCTGATGAGCACCGAAAACCAGAGGTAGGGCACGGACCCTTGCAGGAGCAGGTCTGCGCAGCACAGGGGGAGCTGGGGACGCACAGGGGCAGAGCTCGCTGTGTGTCACAGAGCTGCTGGAAAGGTGTTTCTGATGTGGCACAAGGAAACCAGCCCTGGCTGTGGGGGTCTGGGGGCTGTGGGGATCAGCCCTCACTCCCCTGTCCTGCCCCACCAGGCTGTTGTGCTGGAGGGCAACTACTGGAAACGCCGCATCGAGGTGGTGATGAGGGAGTACCACAAGTGGAGGATCTACTACAAGAAGCGGGTGAGTGGCTCTGCCCACGATGCTGCCTGTCCTGTGGTGGTGCCAGTGGTGGGGCAGGACATCAGCGTACCCAGCATGGACCCATGGCTGACCGGGAGCAGGATGTGGATGGCTCTTGCCAGTATGGGAGGGGATGCTGGCTGCTCACATGGTGCTGGTGGGGTGGAGTTCAATGGGAACGCCATCCCATGCTGTCTTCGGTGCTGGGTGTGCTCTGCCTGACTGTCCCCTGCCTTTTGCACCCTCTGGGGCTGGGTTTGGCAGCGCACCCACAGCACACATATTGGGGTGGGTCGAGCAGAGCCAGCACTGGGGCTGGGCTGGGATTCACAGGCATGCTGCTGGCAGCCACATCTCACCCTGCCAGCACGTGCTGCCAGGCAGGCTGGGTGGCTCCGTGCTGCTCTGGTTGCCTGCTCTGCTCAGGCTCGCACCACAACCTTGGCCTCCTGCCACGCGGGGTGGAGCGTGGTCCAGCCTCACCCCCAGCTACTTGCTCGGGACCCATAAAGGCCGGGGTGACACAGGCAGGCAGGGTGCTGGCAGTCACACACAGCACCGGTCCCACCACTGCCACAGCTGCTCAGCCCAAACCCTGTGGGGTAAAGGCAGATGTGAGCTCATGGCAGCCACCCTGAGCCCTCCAGGGACCTCCATCCTAAGTACTGCTCCCCTCTGCCCTGCCCCACACTGTGCCTGCCTCAGCTGGGGGGTGACATGGGCTATCTTCACCTTCCAGCTCCGAAAGACCACCAGGGAGGAGGAGGTCTCCAGCCCAAAGCAGGTGAGTCGGCTGGGGAAGGGTGGGGAGGGGGCATTAGGGGGGCACAACGCAAACCCCTGCACTGGGCAGCTTGGGAGGAGGGCAGGCAAAAGCACCAGGGCATGCCAAGCCTTATGGGATGGGATGCCAAGTCCTTAGGATGCCACACTCACACTTGTGGAAGTACCAATGTGCCAGGTGTGAAGCTTTGGAGTGATAAATGCTGTAGGGAGCATGGGAGCTGCCAGGGAGCGCAGGTGGGGAGCCAGGCATGGGCCCTTCCCACTCGGCTCCTTTGCTCATCTCATGCAGGATGAAGATCTCTGGAGGCCAATGGAGAAATGGTGCAACCAGCTCTTCTGCAACGTGGTGCCCATGCTGCTTGGGGATGAGGAAGAGGAGCCAGGGGGTAGGCAGCACTTTGACTTGGACACCTTCCTCTCGGACATCTCTGACACCCTCTTCACCATGACACAGACGCCCAGTGCCCATCAGGCACTCCCCGAGGATGGTAGGTGTTCCAGACCATGCTCTAGCAGGATCCGGAGGAGGAGGTCCAGGTGGGCAGCACACGCAGTAGCCCCTTGCTGCTTCTTGGCCTTGACCCTGGGAGCTGCTGCCTGTGTCTTTTGAGCAGAGAGGATCCCCTGGCATCCTTCCTGCTGGGGCAGGAGGGGGGGATGCTACAGAGTGAGAGCTCTATTTGGGAAGAGTGGGAGCATCCCCTCCTTGGGTGGCTCCCTACAAACTGCCTCAGGTGGGGTGTGCTGAGCTGCCCAGGCAGCACTAGACCCATGAGGGACCTTGCACCAGACTCCAGGGCAGTGCTGCCAGCCCTGGGTGAGGAGCAGACAGGGCCTGCCTTCCATGGCCACCCTCTGCTGACCCTGCCTGGCCAGGTCCCTCGTGCTCCTGCAGCACCAGGTGGGTCCTGTGCCAAGGATCAACTTTTCCCTGGAGTTCTTGAGCACTGGATGAGGTCCCAGGGGCACTGGTGGGCAGGATGGTGGGGATGGGATGGTCCTGGGTCTCCACAGAGGGGGCACCACCTCCCTGCCAGCACAAGGAGCAGCGACACAGGGTGACTCTGGGGTGCCAGAAAGGGTTGCAGCCAGGCAGGTATGAGGGCAGGGGTGGGAGGAACCCTGAAGGGGGTATTGAGGGTGCTGCGTGCCTGGGCCCCAGCGTTGCAGCTCTGCCCTCTTCCAGCCTATGTTGGGAATGCTGACATGATACAGCCGGACTTGGCGCCCCTGCAGCCCAGCCTGGATGATATGGAGATCTCAGGTAAGAGCCAGCCGCATCCCACACAACCCAGCACGGTCTGCGCCCCACTGCAGCCCAAAACTGGCCAGGCAGCAGCAGGAGCTGCAGGGGTGGCCTGAAAGCACCAGACATGCCCTGGCATGGAAAAGGCAGCGTGCACGGGCAGGGTGCTGCGGCAGGCTGTGGGGCAGGGGCTCCGCTGCCTGCCTGCACCCGGGGCAGAACCTCAGCGGCTCCGGATTTCTACAAAGAGAAATCTGGCGGTTCCCAGGGTGCTGAACCACCTCCCCTCGGCGGCAGCCAAAGGACAAGTGTCCTCCGCAGGAGAGGGGAAACCTCTGGAGAGCAGGTTCTGTGCTGCTGTGTCCCCCTGCCCAGCCATCGCCAGGCTGAGCAGCCACGGGGGCTGCCTTAGAAGTGGGTCCCCGTGCTGGGCGGTGCTCTGCCCCTGCCAGGGACGGTGGCAAACCTAGCACTGATGGCCACCTGGGGCAAGGGGGCTGCTGAGGGGACACCAGGAAGTGGGCAATGGCAGCCTCCTCCCATGGAGCCATGCAGGCTCTGAGCTGTGCCGTGAGATCAGCTGGGACACGTCCTGGTCCCCAGTGTCCTCATATGCCAGGGCAAGGCACTGCCGGTACACGTTGCACTGGGGACCAGCTCTGCCCTCAAACATGCCAGAGCCAGCGTGTGTTGGTTATTGCAGCCTTCCCGGTAGCTGGTGGCCTTGGGCAGCACCAGCATCTCTGGACCCCTCTGTGCATCCATCGGCACCCTGTGAGCTCCACAGCCATCTCCACTTCCTTTGGCAGGAGGAAACAGGGGTGCTTGCACCACACGGCCATAGCGTGATGCAAGATAAGATGCTGCCAGGGACTAGGCTGGGACACTCTGATGTGCTGGGACAGGCGGGGGGATGCCCCAGGGAGGGATGTGACGGGAAGGCTCTTGGAGCATCCTTTGGCTCCTTCCTTCCAGAGGTCTCATCAGGGTGAGACCCTTTCTGGGAAGAGGGTCTGTTCCCACTGCTGGCCCTTTGCCTCCTGTCCCCAGGTGCCCCAAGTAGGTGCCAGTCACTGGTAGGTGGAACAGCTCCAAATGGGTCACAGTGACACATGACGAGTGTCCCTTGCCCTGAGAGACCCTGCACAGTGCTGGCAGTCTGCACTAACCCCTCTCAAGCAGCACCTCACCACAAGTGTCACAGGAGCAGGCCCAGAACTTGCCGTTTGTGCCATTTGTGCCACCACATGGCACAGCCTCATGCTCAGCAGGAGATGGCAAGGGGCACAGGGGTACCCATCTGAACCAATACATTTCTATTAGCAGCCAAGTTGTCTTTTGTTTCCTGGGGAAAAGGCCAGCATTTTGCTCCAGGGTGTTGCATGGGAATGGAACAGGTCTTACTGCAAGCCACTTCATTGCAGGAGAGAATCTTTTCCAAGGAATGTTTAAGGCCAGGTTGGACGGGGCTGGGAGCAATCTGCTCTATTGGAAGATGTTCCTGCCCATGGCAAGGGTTGGAACTGGAGGAGCTTTAAGGTCCCTGTAACCCAAACCATTACAGGACAATGTAATTCATGTTTTGCCCAAACCCTGGAGATCCACATGGAGGGACTGCTGGGGCTGGGGAGGGACTCACGTCCAGCTGGGGTCAGAGACAGCATCCCAGGTATGGCCTGTGTGCCCCAGGGCTTTTGTGCTCCCGTGAGTGGGAGTCCTGTCCCAGACATGGCGTTTCCTGGGATGCTGTGCAGAGCAGCCCTGCTGACAGGCCTGTGACAGCGATGAGGGAGGTGGGGTGTACGCTGGGCAGAGGGCGTGTGTGGGGCAGGGATGTAGGAGCAGAGGTGTTCGCAGTCCATGTGATGGGCAGTGCCAGGTCATGAATGCACAGGGCTGTGGGATGACTGGGGAGAGCAGATGGGGGCTGAATGCTGGGAGCAGGCTGCCAGAGCCAACCTAATCGTGTCCCTAAGGCCACTTTTCCAGCAGGGTGTGGAGCAGGAAGCCTTGCACAGAGCACCATGGTGCCCACGTGCAGGGTGGGCACTGGGTCAGCACAGGGCTCACAGGGTCACAGGGCTGCCACTGTGCCTGGTGGTGGTGGCAGAGCTCAGCGCCTGTCAGTCAGCACAGGCAAACCAATCCCCAAAGGAGGAAGCTCCTCATGTTCGCAGTGGGCGCCGGAGCACGGTGTGGGGCGGATGGAGAAGTCCTGATGGCAGATGCAAGGGAGCAGCCGGGCCCCGGGCCCTGCTGGCACTGCGCTCCAGGTAGGACCCATACAGGGCACTGGGGTACAGGGGGCAGCGCTGGCATCCCATGGGGTGGCATCACCCCACCATGCTGCAGGGCTCACTCGGGGCCTGAGGCCAATGCTGGAGTGTGCTTGGTTTAGGAATGGGTTCTGTAGCCCCAATGCCAGCCCTGGGTTTGAACGGGATGCCAAAGGTGTGGTGTGCCATCCGCATGGGCTCTTCTCCTGTGAGCAGTGATGTGCCCTGGCCACACCGTACTGCTGGGGAGAAGTCAGGGTGATGCAATGGTGGAGAGGAGTGTGGGCAAGAGCTGTGGGGTGGGGAAGAGGTAAGAAGAAGGGGGGACAGGGCTCCTGGGGGCTGCCAGCGACCTTCCATCCCTGCGCAGAGCAAGAGGCACAAGAGGAATTGAATCTACAGAGCTGGGCACCAGAAATGCCTATAAATACCCGCAGAGCTTCAGTGTGCCGTGTGGGCATGACGAAGAGCTGGGGGCAGCGTGGAGTTGGGTGCTGCACCCTCGGGAGATTGAGACCCTGCCTGGCAGCACCATAGCCCACAATGAGTGGAACGGCAGGGATGGCTCTGCCAGGCTCCCTGGCATTCACCGTGTCCTTGGCAGGGGGAAGGGGCAGGCTGAGGGCTGAGTGGGGCAGCTCAGGGATGGCACTGCACTGTCTCGCACTGGGGTTACCCTTGGCTGCCAGCACATGGCACCGCTGGAGTCATCACCGTGCTCAGCTCCGTGGCATCGCACTCTGCTGCCATGTTTGCTTCTCTGATGGAGATTCAGAAGGGTCTCAGACCTTTGCAGGTCCCAGCCAGGGCACCCTGGGTGCCGGAGGCTGCGCCACACTGGAGGCAGAGCAGAGTCCTGCGGCATGGCTATGCCTGAGGGCACCAGAGACAGCATGTGGACTGAGCCGGGCTCTGCAGGAAGTGAAATGGAGCCTGGGGCAGTGATGGTCATGCCAGCCAAGGGGTTGGGAGCATGGCTGGGTGCTCCCCAGCGGGGATGCCAGGGTTGCTGCTCAGGCACAGAGTCAGTGCCAGTCTGCAAACGCAGCCAGCACTCCTGCTGCATCCTACCGGGAAGCATCCAGCAGCCCCAGCCCCAGCTCAGAGTCATCCTCTCCAGGGAACACCATCCTGGTGGCACTGCCCGAGCCAGCACCGGCACAGACAGCCACAGCGCCAGCACCAAGCCGAAGCGGGCATGGGGCTGCCATGCCCGGGGAGCTCGTTTCCCCAAGGAGGTGGCTCAAAGCTCAGGCCAGCCCTTTGCACCACAGCGTCTGGGCCTGCGGAAGGAGCAGGGTTGTGGGAAGGGGAGAGGAAGGGAGAGGGAGTCGCGGCAGGGTCACGGGGCTCAGCTTCGGGAAGGCCATGGGATGTGGTTAGCCGCAGGCTGCACGCACGGCACTGCTGGGGGGGGGGTAAGCGCTCGCCGTGACTCCAGGGGAGCGTCCCCCATGGCTGGGGGATGCTGTGAGCTGTGCCTCTGAGCCTGCCAGCTGTGGCTGCCCCACAGCCTGGGGGTCACCGGGCCTGCCCCACGCTGGAGCTGGTTCAGAAGGGGATGTACAGCCACCTAGCCCTGGGAGCAGCCCTGCAGCATGAGGTGCCTGGCGGGGTGTCAGGATGGGGTCCCCTCCCTTGGGTGGCACCCTTGGGCGGGTGTTCCTATCCCCTTGATGTGGCAAGGCTGTTCACGGGTGCAAACCTCTGGCAGTGCTGGTAATGGGGTACAACTTTACCCAGTGTGCCCTGGGGCTTGACATCCCCTCTCTGGGATGGTTTGCTGATGCCCCTCACTCTGTCTCCACAGATATCTTCACCAGCCACCGGCCACTGCCACCACAGATGCAACCAGGCTATCAGGAGCCACCCTGCTTCATGCCCATGGCTGAGCCCCTGTTCGGTGATGGGGGGTGCCTGATGGGTGCTCGGGGGCTGCCCGCAAGTCCCGAGGCCCCGCTCTCACCCGCCGCCCTCCTCCAGGTGAGCAGGACCACAGCCCACGGCCCGCGGCCACAGTGCCCCGGCACCCCTCTGACCATCTTGTGTCTCCTGCAGCCCGGCGGTGCCTCCCAGCTTGGCCTCCACGGCGCCTTCCTGGGCCCCGAGCTCCCCCCAGCCCTGCTGCCCCCCAACACCCCCACCACAGTGCCCAGCGACCTCAGCCCCCAGCTCCGACACAAGCCCCTGCTGCAGTACGGGCCCCCCAGCCTGGAGCCACCAGGACCCCACTACCCCCCTCCCAGCCTGTCCCCCGGGGCATCAGTGCTGAGCCCGGACCCCCTGTGCTCCCCCATCTCAGCACCTCGCTGCAAGTTCCCCTACCCCAGCTCCCCCAGCCCCTCGCTCCTCGTCCATCCCACATCCCCCCTCCCAGCACCCTGCTTCGCCCCCCATTCCCCGGAGCTGGGCTATGCTGTAGGCATGGTGCCCCCGGGGTACCCCGGCCCGGCTGCCCCCGAGCTCCTGCCTCCCCCCCTGCTGGGCGACCCCAGGTTTGCCCCCCCTAAGGGGCTGCCCCAGGGCAGGAGCGCGCGGCTGAAGGCAAAGCCCAATGGCACCAAGGGGAAGAGGCTGCCGGGACCCCCCCCACCGACACCCCTGGCCATGCCCAACCCCCGCCTGAGCCAGCTCCTGACTGCAGGTAAGGGGGCCCGGGGCCAGCCACTGGTGGGGGGAGATGCTGGGGTGGGGGATCGGAGGTGGGACCCTGCTGCCTCCCTGGGGTTGGGTGCTGGGGATGCTGGGCAGGGCGTGTGGCTCTCCCCACAGTGAGGCAGCCCCAAAGCCGGGGGGAAGCCATGCCCAGGGAGGTCTCCCCGCAGGGCTCAGCCACGGGCACCACTGCCAAGTCCCTGTGTCCCCAGCCTGCTCTCCTGTTGGCACAGAGGGGCTGAGGGGTCCTGCCCGACCTGCTGCCCATACATGAGGTGGGACAGGTCCCACGGAGGCTGTCATGAATGTCTGGGGTGGGCTGCGGGTCCCTGCCTGCACCAAGGCTCCTGAAGATATCCCTGCTGTAGGGAGCAAAGGCAGCTCTCTCTCTAGGGGCTGCTTTACCCTTCTCTGATGCAGACAGGGAAGGGCTGCAGCAATGCCTGTGCTGTGAGCTGGTTGTCCTGGGGGGCAGAATAGGTCCCCAGGGCTCCAGCACCCTCACACAACAGTTCCCTTCTGCTCCCTGCCCTCTGCAGCCAAGCAGGAGCCAGTCCTGGATGCCCCAAGCCCGATAGGTGAAGGACTCGTGCCCACATCCCCTGTTTCCCCGGTAAGCACCTGCCTAGCCCCCGGGTTGGGAAGTGCCTCCCCAGATGAGACACTGCCTTCTCCTGGTTGCTGGGCAGGGGTTGAGCTAGGGCAAGGGGGTAGATGGGGCTCTGTGGGGTCACCCTTTGCAATATGGAGCTGGACAGGCACAGGGAGAAGGAGGTGGCATGTGGGGCAGGAATCACCTGTAAAGAAACAGGGTGGAGGTGGGAAGCATCCCTTTGCAGGGCCCCTCTCCTGGGGCGATGGGGCTGGGGCTGCCCTGCAGATGGTTGGAAGGAGTTGCATGTCCCCTTTCCCTGTCCCCCCGCAGATGTTCTGATGTCAGTGCCTGGGCACCCACCAACCCAAAGGGAAGGTCTGGTCCCCGGCGCACGTGGGGTGCTGGGTCCCCAACCTCCTCCTTCCCTCTGCCTTCTCCCACCAGCAGAGCACTGTCCCAGACGTCCCTGCCACCTTCCTCTCCAGAATGGCCCAGCTGAGCCCAGGGCTGGCTCCTGGCTCCAGCCCTTCCCAGGTGGTGCCGGTGCCGCTGGCAGGCACCCAGCCGGGCCCGCTGCTGGTGCCCAAGGCAGAGCGGCTGTCCCCCACGTCGGCTTGCGGTGAGTCTGGGACGCACGAGGGAGCTCCCCAGGACACTGCATCCCCTGCAGGGAGCCTGCACCAAACCTCATGGGGATGTTTCAGATTTACTTCAATCCCAGATATTTACATTGAGCCGGCTGAGCATGGAGCAGATCTTTGTGTGTGGGAGGGAGGGCATAGTCCCTTCACCTGCCTTCTTCTACAGGGACAAAAGCAGAAACAGGAAAAGACAGAAAGGACCAAAATGTCGGGCTGTGGTTTTGAAAACCCGGAGCTTGGGTTTTGAGCAGGAAGTGCCCTGCTTTCACCCACAGAAACCAGAGCGGTGTCTGGAAACCAGGCTCTGGTCTCACCAGATCACAGCGTTGCTGCCTTCAGTCCGCTCTCCCGGCAAATTCCACCACAAGAAACACTGGGAACTTCAAATGTCACATTCCAGATGTTCCCATTTCTGAGCCGTTGTGAAAAATGAGTGGGATTTGGGATAAGAGAAACTGATAAGATTTGGTTGGATGCTGGGGCAGATGCCCTGGGGTTGGGGTAGTGCTGCAGGCTGCTCTTCTCTGCCCATCCCAGTGTGGGACCCTGATGTCAGCCCATCACGAGGGGCTGCTGCTGCCTCTCTCCCCAGAGCATCACTTTCCCTTTTCCAGGCATTGACTGGCCCAAGCCTGGCCAGGCTTCCCCGAGACCCACTGCAGGGCTGGGCACTGGCATCCCCCTGCACCATCCCGTGTCATGTCGGGGCAGGCCTGAGCCCAGCAAGGTACACCAGGAGCTATGGGAGGAGCCAACTCCATATGCACCCCCCTTCCCTGCTGCCTTCCAAGCTTCCCCCATACCCTCACTACAAACTTTGGGCAAGCCCAGCCCCACTGGGGCCGGTGGCTCGGGGCTGCCCCTGCTGCCAGGAGGTGCCTGATGGCACTTCTCCACTGGCAGGTGGAGAGCCGCCGCATCACACACATCTCCGCTGAGCAGAAGAGGCGCTTCAACATCAAGCTGGGCTTCAACACCCTGCACAGCCTGGTGAGCACGCTGAACGCCCAGCCCAGCATCAAGGTGAGTGCCCAGGGCTGCATGGACCGGCCAGCCCTGAGCATGGAGGGACAAGGTGTGTCCCCTGGAGATGCTGCATCTCCAGCCTGCCCCAGTGCAGGGAGCTCCTGTCCTGTGCCCCAGCCCTTGGGGCAGGAGGCTGCAAGCCCCCAGCAGGCACATGGAGACCCATATGGTGCAGCTATGCCAGGGTGGTCTGGGCACTGGAGCAGGGCACCTCTTGCGCTGCCAGCCCTGCTGCACCGGGTGCCCCACAGCCCGCCAGTCCCAGCAGCTGCCTGCGTTGTCTCACGCTGTGGCCCCTCAGGTCAGCAAGGCCACCACCTTGCAGAAGACAGCCGAGTACATCTGCAAGCTGCAGCAGGAGCGGGCAGCCCTGCAGGACGAGGCACAGCGGCTGCGGGAGCAGATCGAGGAGCTCAATGGCTCCATCAAGTAAGTGGGGCATGGCTGGGGCAGGCAGGAGGGAGCCACTGCCTGCATCGGGGTACCCAGGCAGGGCAAGCGCTGGGGAGGCAGCAGGACACAGCAGGTCTCCCGAGCACCTCCCAGCACCTGTACTTGACTCTGCCCCACCTCAAACCCTGTTTGGAGGAGGGATGATGCTCAAGAGGCAGTGCCACGTGGGACCAGTACATGAGGCAGTGCCCCACAGCTGCCCTGGGAGGGGGACACTGCCTGCTCACCCCTGCTGAGAGCTCAGGTCCTGCCGGAGCCTCTCCCCACGGGGCAGCCCTGTGGCTCCCAGTCTCCTAAACATGGACCCACAGCAGTGCTGGTGCCCCACAGCCTCTGTCAGGAGCAGCTGCCAGCCACAGGGGTGCCCATCACACGCCAGCGCTTCGACCAGATGCGCAGCATGTTTGACGAGTACGTCCGCTCCTCCACGCTGCAGAACTGGAAGTTCTGGATCGTATCCTTTGGGGCCAGTGCCTGCAGCTTGCTCAGAACCCTCCACCAGACACCAGGTCCTCAGCTCCACCCGCTTCTCCTGGGTCTGTGGGATCTCTCCAGCTCAAGAGGCTCTGGAGGCCATGGGGAGATGTTTCCCAGCCAAGGGCACATGGTGGGACATGCTGAGATGAGGAGGCAGCTTCTGTTACAAGGGAGCAAACCCTGTAGGTGTAAATGGTCAGTCCTTGGGGAGGAGTCACTGGCAGAGCTGAGCTCGTGCAGGTAAGAGCTCCTGGCAATGTGGGAACTGGCTCTGGGACACAGCAGCCATCAACTAGAGATTAGGAAAGGTCCAGACACAAAGTTGGTGACATGATGGCTTGGTCTTGGTGGCCACGTGGCACACATTGGAGACACAGGTGTGTCCATGCCTGGGACACAAGTCTGGGCTCCATGTGGTTGGAAGAATGGAGGAGACAAAGGGCCAGGGAAGAATGGAGGAGACCAAGGGCCAGGGAATGGGAGGTCAAAGCAGTGCACAAAATCACCAGCCTCCAGTGGTGGTCCCAGCAGAGGAGCACACCGAACACACTGGTGTCATGCCCTGCTCCTGGTCACTCCAGAGGACACTGCACTAGTAGTCTCCTTGAAGAGTTGTCTTGTGTCTAATCAACCATTTCTGGCAGCTTCAGCTGTGATGGGGGTGACACAGCTCTCCCACTGCCTCCTGGGTGACACTCAGATCCCCATCGCCCCAGCAGTATGGGCTGGTGCCCAGCATGGTGCTGTGCTGAGAAAGGGACACAGCAGGTCTGCCCAGGTCTGGGCAGGGAGGTTTGTCCTGCTGCCTGTAGGAGAGTGCTGCCTGAACCTTACAGGTGGAATCCATGCTCTTGGCAAGGCTGGCCCTTAACTCCTCTGCTCCCATCAGTTCAGTATCATCATCCGGCCCCTCTTTGAGTCTTTCAATGGCATGGTCTCCACGGCCAGCATGGAGAGCCTCACGCAGACGTCTCTGGCCTGGCTGGATCAGCACTGCTCCCTCCCAGCGCTTCGGCCAAGTAGGTGTCCCTGTGCCTGTCTGCAGCACCCTGAAGGAGCGGGGCTGGCCCACGGCATGGACTGATGAGAAAGCAGAGAGGGGGAAAAGGACAGGGGTGTCCCGGGGGGGAGCGGGGCTGGCGCTGCACCATGCTGATGCTGCACGGGAGGGAAGCACCCGCTGGATGCTCCGGGGCTGTGTGCTCTGTGCTTTTCCATGTTCCTTTCACACCCGTGCTCCAGCCTGCGGAGAGCCTGTGTCCCGGCTGGGCAGGGCTCGGGACAGGGGTTTCCCTTCAACTTTCCTGCTGTGGGCTGTGTCAGGGACGTGTCAGGAAGAGCCATCTCCCCCAGGATGGGTTCACCCTTTCAGCCCTCAGGGCATGGGGGCAGTTCTCATGTCCCACGTCTCCCCGCAGCCGTCCTGAGCTCCCTCCGGCAGCTGAGCGTTTCCACCTCCATCCTGAGTGACCCAGCCTGCATCCCCGAGCAGGCGACGCGGGCAGTGGCGGGGATGGGCCGTGGTGGCTCCTCGTAGCTGCTCCCGGCCCGGCTTTCCCAGACCTTCGGTGCTGAAGGACGAGCACCCAGCAACGCCTGCAAGGAGCCGCCGGCAGCGCCACCACGGCCGGGCCGCTCGGGAAGGGGCACGCCTGGCAACAGCCGGGTCCCCTCCCGTGGGAGTCCCTGCCTGCGCGGGGCAGAGGCTGCACCCGGGGCCGGCCAGACGCCAGAGCGGCGCATCGGGGTCCTGCGTGCCCGGGGCCGGGAGCCCGGGGCAGTGGGAGCTGCGGGGCGGCGGTGCCCGGCTGCTCTGACTGATAAAGAGCTCGCTCTGCCCACAAGCCCACAAGCGTGGTTCTTCTGAGTCGGGTCTGATCTGCCGCGGGGCAGGGGCTGGGCAGGGTGAGGGCAGCGGCTGAGCACGGGCAGAGGCACGGGCAGGGGCAGGGGCAGGGGCACGGGCAGAGCACGGGCAGGGCACGGGCAGGGGCACGGGCAGGGGCTGAGCACGGGCAGGGGCAGGGGCACGGGCAGGGGCTGAGCACGGGCAGGGGCAGGGGCACGGGCAGGGGCAGGGGCACGGGCAGAGGCACGGACAGGGGCAGGGGCAGGGGCTGAGCACGGGCAGAGGCACGGGCAGAGGCACGGGCAGGGGCAGGGGCTGAGCACGGGCAGGGGCACGGGCAGGGGCAGGGGCACGGGCAGGGGCAGGGGCACGGGCAGAGGCAGGGGCACGGGCAGAGGCACGGGCAGGGGCTGAGCACGGGCAGAGGCACGGGCAGAGGCAGGGGCAGGGGCAGGGGCACGGGCAGAGGCACGGGCAGGGGCAGGGGCAGGGGCTGAGCACGGGCAGAGGCACGGGCAGGGGCTGAGCACGGGCAGAGGCACGGGCAGGGGCAGGGGCAGGGGCTGAGCACGGGCAGGGGCACGGGCAGAGGCAGGGGCACGGGCAGAGGCACGGGCAGGGGCTGAGCACGGGCAGAGGCACGGGCAGAGGCAGGGGCAGGGGCAGGGGCACGGGCAGAGGCACGGGCAGGGGCAGGGGCAGGGGCTGAGCACGGGCAGAGGCACGGGCAGGGGCAGGGGCAGGGGCTGAGCACGGGCAGGGGCTGAGCACGGGCAGGGGCGGGGGCTGGTCCGGAGCGGGACGTTCCCACGCAGCCACCGCCAGGGGTCGCTCGCAGGGAGGGCGTGGCGCTGTGCGCATGCGCGTAGTGTCCCACCCCGCTGAGGTGGCGGTGGCGGGAAGATGGAGGCGGTGGCTGGGGGTGTGTTGGGGCTGCCCGGTGCTCTCGCTCTGCTCCTCATCCTCATCCCGCTCGCGGCCGTGCTGCGCCGCGCCGGCCCGCGGGGGCTGCCCGCCGCGTCCCCCCTCGGTGAGTACCGCAGGGACGGCGGGGGAAGCGGGGCTGGGCTGGCCGGGCCGGGCGGCGCTGACCCGGGCCCCGCCGGACCCTCTGCGCCCCACAGATTCCAAAGCGAACGGCGCGGCCGCCGCCCGGGCTGGGGAGCACCGGAAGGCGAAGCCGGCGGCGCGGGCCCGGCGGGACAAAGCACAGCAGCACAGTTTCACCCACCGGCTGCTGGTCGCCGCCCTCAAGGTACCGTGTATGCCCGGTGCCGGTGCCCCGCCGGGCCCGGCGCCTCCTGCCCCGCAGGGCCTCTGCCCTGCGGTCACTGAGCCTTCTCTGTAGGGCCACAGTGGCAATGTTTCCTGCCTGGACTTCAGCAGCAACGGGAAGTACCTGGCGTCGTGCGCCGATGACCGCACGGTCCGGCTGTGGAGCACCCGCGACTTTGCGGCGCGTGAGCACCACTGCCTGCGTGCCAACATGGGGCTGGACCACGCCGAGCTCGTCCGCTTCAGCCCCGACTCACGGTATGGCCACACCTCATCCAGCCCTGGCACAGCAACCTCCTGGGGCATAGCGGCACCGGGACGTTATGGAATCGTAGCATAGGCACAGACTGGTTTGGGTTGGAAGGGACCTTAAAGCTCATCCAGTCCCAACCCCCTGCCACAGGCAGGGACACCTTCCACTAGAGCAGCTTGCTCCAAGCCCCTGTGTCCAACCTGGCCTTGAACACTGCCAGGGATGGGGCAGCCACAGCTTCTCTGGGCACCTTGTGCCAGCGCCTCAGCACCCTCACAGGGAAGAGCTTCTGCCTAAGAGCTCATCTCAGTCTCCCCTCTGGCAGGTTAAAGCCATTCCCCTTGGCATGTCCAAAGGTCCTCTCCTGCTTTCTTGTTGGTCTCTTTTGGTAATGGTAAGACGCTCTTAAGGTCTCCCTGGAGCTATGGCCATATCCTGTGTCTCCATGTCCTGTGGACAGAGGTGCCAGTCAGACAGCACAAACCTTGCTTACCATCAGTGATGTGTCCTCTGGGCTGCATGGAAGTGACCTCCCTCACAAGGACTCAGTGGTACTGCTGATTCGTGGCCCTCTCATGAAAGCAGCTATCACTTTAATGTTGTTCTCCAGGCAAATATCCTAGTGCCCAGCTTGCTGCACCCATGGAAGGGGCTTGTCAAAGTCCTTTCCAGCATCCTGCAGCTGGGCTAGGCTGCTGAGCCTCGCTTGGGCTCAGGAGAGAGCTGACTGGGATCACCAGTGGAAAAGCATACCTTGGCATTTTGCAAGTGGCATTTCTTAGAGGAAGAGATCTCATTTCCAGATGTGGAGTAACAAGTCCTATTTTCCATTTAGTGTTGTAGTTTTGCTCACACAGAGAGAGAACTTGGTGCCCTTGTGAAGCACACAGCCTTTTATCTGCCAGTGCATCCTTTTCCTCAGGTGCCAGTGAGTGATCTGGTAGCTTCCCTGCTGTAGCCAAGGTGAACTGAGGCATCTCTAAATGGTTCAGAGTGTCTGTCCTTCCACAGGGCATTTGTCGTCTGGCTGGCGAGCAACGAGACAATTCGTGTCTATAAAATGACCAAGAAGGATGACGGCAACTTCACCTTCACTGCAGCTGCTGGGGACTTCCCAAAGAAGCACAAAGCTCCCATCATCAACATAGGAGTTGCAGAGACAGGTACAGGAATGATCTGCTCACTTTTGGGGCTTGAGGTAGTATCATAAAACCATAGAATAGTTAGGGTTGGAAAGGACCTTAAGACCATCTAGTTCCACACCCCCTGCCATGGGCAGGGACACCTCACACTAAACCAGGGCACCCAAGGCTCTGTCCAACCTGGCCTTGAACACTGACAGGGATGGAGCATTCACAACCTCCCTGGGCAACCCATTCCAGTGCCTCACCACCCTAACAGGAAAGAATTTCCTCCTTATATGCAGTCTAAACTTCCCCTGTTTAAGTTTGAACCCATTACCCCTTGTCCTATCACTGCAGTCCCTAATGAAGAGTTCCTCCCCAGCATCCTTATAGGCCCCCTTCAGAGACTGGAAGGCTGCTATGAGGTCTCCATGCAGCCTTCTGCAGGCTGAGCAGCCCCAACTTCCTCAGCCTGTCTTCATACGGGAGGTGCTCCAGTCCCCTGATCATCCTTGTGGTCCTCCTCTGGACTTGTTCCAACAGTTCCATGTCCTTTTTATGTTGAGGACACCAGAACTGCACACAATGCTCCAGGTCCACAAGAGCAGAGCAGAGGGGCAGGATCACCTCCTTCGACCTGCGGGTCACGCTCCTTTTGATGCAGCCCAGGATACGGTTGCTTTCTGGGCTGCAAGCGCACACTGAAGCTGGCTCATGTTCATTTTCTCATCAGCCAACACCCCCAAGTCCTTCTCCACAGGGCTGCTCTGAATCTCTTCTCTGCCCAACCTGTAGCTGTGCCTGGGATTGCTCTGACCCAGGTGTAGGACCTTGCACTTGTCATGGTTAATCTTCATGAGGCTGGCATCAGCCCACTTCAGAGGCGTGTCAAGGTCCCTCTGGATGGCATTCCTTCCCTCCAGCGTATCAACCGAACCACACAGCTCAGTGTCATTGTCAAACTTGGTGAGGGTGCACTCAATCCCACTGTCCACGTCAGCGACAAAGATGTTGAACAAGACCAGTCCCAATACCGATCCCTGAGCAACACCACTTGTTACTGGTCTCCAGCTGGACATTGAGCCATTGACCATAACTCAGCTTTTATGTCTCATGTACAGCAAGAGGTGTTGGGTTGGAAGTGTTGGAGTTTTTGGCATTCTCAAGGCTCATTTCTTCACCAGTACTTCATTCTCTGCAGTCTCTTAGGTGTCACTTTTTAGCCTTTATTTACTACCAGTTGACCTGAAAGATGTCCTTCTTGGACAAATTGTATTCCTGGAAGCACAAAACTACTCCAGTTTGCCCAGTCTCCTCATTTGCATTTTCAGGCACGCTGTTGCAGAGAGGTCTGGTCTCACTATTGAGAGGCTCACTGTTCTCTGGCCCACCAGTCTGTCTTTAACCAGTCAAAAAGCTCTCTAGTGAGTTCGTATGGTCTATGTGAAACTTTTGGGATCTTCTAGAATGGGGTGGGAGGGAGTATGTGTTAATGGTGAGGGCTTGATGAGACAGTGGACAGTTGGAAGTGGATGGATGTGAGTTCACCTCTGTAATAGCAGAGCAGAGAACAGGTTAACTGAGACCTTTGTTCAGCTGTGACAGTGAAAACTGCATCTGCAAAAATAGCTGAAAGGTGAATCGGCAGCTCCCCCTCCGGGAGAGGGAAAAGTGGAGGCAAACAGAGGTCTAACTGCTGACCTGGCCAGTAAATTTGGACAAAGCAGTGTGGTTGTAGTCACCTACCTGCTGCAACCCACAACTTGAAAGTTGCATTTTAGCCACCTGGGGAAGACCAAGCAGCACGTTCCTGCTGCGGAACCAGTGAAGTGCCAAGCCCTGTGGGTGCAGGGTGAGGAGCATGCAGGGTCTCTGCATGCTCAAGGTGCTCCAAGGCATGACTGGGAGCCAAGGCTCTTTGCCTTGGCCTAGGGGATTGCCACTCCTTGACTTTTGGTGCTGATTTTGGTTTTCTTGACTGGGTGCAGGGAGGGGTCGCCCTGCTTGGGGACTGTCCTGAGCCTTTGGTGAGTCTGTGGTAGCATCACAGCTGGGAGCTCTCCTGATGTTTGCCTTTTCTTCCCCCAGGAAAGTTCATCATGACAGCTTCCAATGACACTACCATCATGATCTGGAGCCCAAAGGGTGAAGTCCTGGCCAGCATTAACACTAACCAGATGAGCAATGCTTACGCTGCAGTGTCACCCTGTGGGAGGTGAGGGGCAGGAGGTGTTCCAGGGTGGGAACAGGAGGATGCGTGTTCAGCTCATTGGCACTTGGCTGCTATTTTAGTGTGATTTTCTGAGGGCTCCATATTTTTCAAAGGGATTCCAGCCCCTGGTAGCAGCCCTGCCGGAGCGCTGCCTCTCACCTGCCTAGCTCAGATGCTCAGTTGCCATTGTGCTTTGGTACTGCTGTCCTGCTGACGATCTCCTGGGGAGCCAGGAGAGCAGCACTCTCCTCAGAGAGTGGAGGTGGGACAACGCAAATGGCGTGCACAAAGCAAACAGCATTTCCAACTTGTGTTTGTAACCTTTTAAAGGTTAATTATAAAATTAAGATTTTTATTACTGGGAGATGTGTTTACTGGGAAGATCTTGTTCTTCACTCTGCCTCTAACTTGGTGCTGCAGGAGGACTTGTGTTCTGAGCTCAGTGCATTTGGAGATCAGAACCATTTAGGTTTTTTAATTTGGCCTAATTCTGAAGTTGCTCTGGTTCCTGGGGGCATTCCCTTTCCCAGCCTGCTGTCACTGGGAAGCGTAAGCGTTTTTAGCTGATTCAAGCCATGTTTTGACTGTGGGCTCTTGATGGTTTTGCCTCCATGGAGCCTCGACTGCTCACCTTGATGCAGGGCCTACCCCTCAAGCCTGCGTTGCCTGGTAATGGATCCTCTGTGTCTCCACTTGTTTGTTCATGCAGGTTTGTGGCCTCCTGCGGCTTTACCCCTGACGTGAAGGTGTGGGAGGTGTGTTTTAGTAAGAACGGAGACTTCCGGGAGGTTGCCAGGGCTTTTGAGCTCAAAGGCCATGCTGCTGGCATACATTCCTTCTCCTTCTCCAATGACTCAAGGAGGTAAGGGCCTGTCACTGCTGCCTGAAGCAGCACGCTCTGCCCTTGGGACACATGAGCTCGCTGCTTCCACAACCTGTTAAGGGGGAGCAAGGCCCTGGGCACAGAGCCCCATAGGGCTTGTGCTGTCTGCCTCTTCCCCATGGATTTTCTCCTGGACATGTCTGCTCTCTCTGCTCTGGACAGAGGGCGAGAGCTGTGTGTCTGCACAGACTCACACTTCCCAAAAGAGCCCTCTCTCCACCGAGGATTCCTGCTGGGCAGGCATGGCTGGTGCAGGGATGCTGCCAGACTTCCTGGTGCTCACTGCATTCCTCTCCTGGCTGCAGGATGGCAACTCTTTCCAAGGATGGGACGTGGAAGTTCTGGGACACAGATGTGGAATATAAGAAGCAACAGGATCCCTACCTGCTGCTGACAGGGAAGTGTGAAGTGGCAGAGCCCTGCCGCATTGCCCTGTCCCCCAATGCTCATGTTGTCGCCATCTCCAGTGGCGCAGACATCGTGGTGTATAACACACGGAGAGGTGAGGAGGAGGAGCGCTTCACCGGTGTGCACGGGCAGTGCATCACAGACTTGGCTTTTGACACCAGCAGCCGCTACCTGGTGTCGTGCGGGGACCGGGCCATCCGTGTCTTCCACAACACAGCTGGGCACAGAGCAGTGGTGGAAGAGATGGAGGCAATCCTGAAAAAAACTGGGAACAAAGCCACGCGGGAGCGCCTGGAGCAGCAGATCTCCAGTGCCCGACAGGCCCTGGCTGCCATCTATGGCAGGAAGCACTGAAAGCGTGCCCATGGGCATCTGGCACTGCGTGCTGCCTGCGGGGACTGGGGTTTTTGATAACGCTGAACAGGCTGTAATAAAGGAGTTTGGTCAGAGCCGGTTTGCCCCTCGCCTGCTTCCTTGCTGTACTGACGGGATGGGGAGCGAGGGCGAGGACCTTGGGGTGCCGCGTGTGCTCCCTCTGCCACAGGCTTCTCCCGGTGCACCGCAGTGAGGGGTCAGAGGGGGCCGGGGGGGTTCTGGGCTTAGAAAAGAGGGTTTGGAGTTTATTTTGCTGCCCAAGCTCAAACGCTGATGCTAGCAGGGGGTTTCTGCTGCTGCCTGCATGCAGGCAGGGCTCCTGCAGCCGCGCCCTGCTGGGGGGATGCCCGGCCCCGGTACCCCCGGTCCCGGTACCCCCGGTCCCGCGCTGGGCGGGACGCGCCGCAAACGGAGCCACCGGCACAGGCTCAGCCCGCAAAGGGGTGGGGCGAACCGCGCATGCGCGCCTTACGTCACCGCGGTCCCTCCCCACCCGTCCTCGGGGCGTGGCGAGCGCGGTGACGCAGCACGCACGGTGCGGGGCGGGATCGCGCATGCGCGGCTGTCGGCGGCGGGCGCGGCGGAGCCGGGGCTGCCGGGGCTGCGGGCGCCATGTCGGGCCGGTCGGTGCGCGCCGAGACCCGCAGCCGCGCCAAGGATGACATCAAGAAAGTGATGGCGGCCATCGAGCGCGTCCGCAGATGGTGAGAGGCGGGGCCGTGGGGGTGGGGCCTTCCCCGCGCGCAGCCAATCACCGCGCCACACGGCTGCCGGCGGAGGCGCCCCGGCAGCAAGTGTCCAATCTCCGTGCTGCGTGGGTGAGCGGGCGGGGATAGCGAGGCGGCAGCCAATTAGTTCGCCCGGTTTGCTCGGGAGCTGGGGGGGGACCGGAAGCGCCGGTGATGGACGGGCAGCAGGGCCAATCACAACGTGGTGTGGGGGGGAAAGGGGGGCGGGGGCGGTACTGCTCTGGATTGGCGTTCCCCTGGGCCAATCGGAGAGCGGTGAGGGGGGGCGTGGGAGGGGCTAGTGAGAGCTTGTGGCCGGGCGCCGCGGAGCCGCTGCCATTGCCGGCTTGTCCCGCAGGGAGAAGAAGTGGGTGACGGTGGGAGATACCTCGCTGCGGATATTCAAGTGGGTGCCGGTGGCGGACAGCAAGGAGGTGGGTACCGCGGGACCTCCTCTGGGGAGACCTCAGAGCAGCCCCGGTGCCTGAAGGGGCTGCAGGAAACCTGGAGAGGGGCTTGGGGCAAGGGCCTGTAGGGACAGGCCAAGGGGAATGGCTTTAACCTGCCCGAGGGGAGACTGAGACGAGCTCTTAGGCAGAAGCTCTTCCCTGGGAGGGTGCTGAGGCGCTGGCACAGGGTGCCCAGAGAAGCTGTGGCTGCCCCATCCCTGGCAGTGCTCAAGGCCAGGTTGGACACAGGGGCTTGGAGCAAGCTGCTCCAGTGGAAGGTGTCCCTGCCCGTGGCAGGGGTTGGAGGTGAATGAGCTTTAAGGTCCCTTCCAACCTAAACCATTCCACGGTTCTATGACTTATTTTCATTCAGCAGTACTCTTGTGTCAGCTTCTTCTTTCGTTACTGACTGTGAACCTTCATAGCTGCAGTTTTGCTGCTCAGTTACGAAAGTGTGTAAAACGGAATAGCTTGCACAGGCACATCCCTGCAGGTTGCTGGGAGAGAGATGGGGAAGCAGCCTCTTCGGAGCAGTTTATGCACCTCTGCATCCTCCTGCCAGCAATGGGCTCCTCTAACTTTGTGTTTCTACTTTTCTTCTTTCTTCTCAAGAAAGAGAAATCCAAGTCAAGTAGCAGCAATGCCCGAGAACCCAATGGCTTCCCAGCTGACACCTCTGCCAACTCCTCTCTTCTCCTGGAGTTCCAAGGTGAGTGTGGCAGTGCCCCACTGCAGCTGGGGACAGAGTTTAAGGCCTTGGAGAAGCTGAGGTTGTGCTGATCCCCTTCTGTCCCTGCTGAGAAACTGTTAATTTTTGTTGTAAGAGGAAACTTTAACCAGCCTAGCCTTGCCCTCAGCAGTTCATGTGACCAAGGAGAACTGCAGAGTGTGTTGGCACTTCCATTACATGGGCTGAGGGGGTTGGTGCTGGAGGTCTGCAGTTTGAGAACACTTGGCCTGGCAAAGGTGTGTGCCAGGACTGCCTGCCTGCCTGCTGGGAGGTGGGCGCTGCACATTGCTCCTGGCCTTAGTTTGCACCTTGCAGACAGAAGTGGTACAAAGCCCTGGTGGGTAGGCAAGGGTTTCCTGCCATCAACTGCCTGAGGCCCTCGCAAGCTGCAGGTGTGAGATTGGGCAGTGCCCCTGGCAGAGGCAATCCCTGTGCCATTGGTTTGTTGTGTATCTGGTGCCGGCTGTGTCCTGGTGAGAGTCCTATGCTAGGCAGTTCTTCAGTGCTGGGTTGCAGCGAATCCTCTGTGTTCAAACTGCCTCTGACCGTGCCCTTCCTTCTCCCCAAGACCCGGCTCTCGGTGCCATCCTCAGCTGCCTGTGTCCCTGGGTCAAGGTGCTCTTCTTCACTAGGTGCTGTTTCTGCAGATGAGAACAGCAACCAGAGCTCGCTGTCAGATGTCTACCAGCTCAAGGTGGATAGCAGCCCCAACTCCAGCCCCAGCCCCCAGCAGAGCGAGTCCATGAGTCCTGCCCACACGTCCGACTTCCGCACGGATGACTCACAGCCACCTACACTGGGGCAGGAGACGCTGGAAGGTGGGTGCTGGCCTGGGAAAGGGGAAGAAAGGCAGCTGGGCCCTATCCTGCAGGAGCCATTGCTTGTCCAGTGGGCAGCTGAGACGTGGCTGGATGTGGGCAGGAAAATGGGGACGGAGGTCTCCTCTCCTGGCTTATTACATAGCTGGATCTGCTGTGCTCCTGGGCAATGGCATTAACCCCCTGTTTTCTCCAGAGCCCTCCCTGCCTTCCTCGGAAGTTGCAGATGAGCCCCCCACTCTCACAAAGGAAGAGCCGGTCCCTCTTGAGACTCAGGTAAGGAAAGGGGCATTGTAGCCATGTCTGAATACACACAGACCTGGTTTTGCCCTTTCACTGTCATGAGCAGAAACATCTCGATGGATTTGCTCTGCAGTGTCCAGTGTCCTATGGGAGCTCCCCAAATCTCGTGGTGTTCTGAGCCATCTCCTGGCTTGGGTCATAGAATCCTAGAATGGTTTGGTTTGGAAAGGAACTTAAAGCTCACCCAGTTTCAACCCCCTGCCATGGGCAGCAGCACCTTCCACTAGAGCAGGTTGGGTCAGGTGATAAAGCATGAAGAAAGGATGCAGTGGGGATGGTAAAACACTGGCTCCAGGGCTGAAGTGGGTTCACACTCCTGGTGTCCAAAAGCTTCCTGATGGATGAGTCTGGGGTGTCCCCGCCGCATGATGCAGCACGATGGGCAGCCGAGCCCCTGTGACCTCTGTCTCTTGCAGGTAACTGAAGAGGAGGAGGATTCCGGTGCGCCGCCCTTGAAGAGATTTTGTGCTGATCAGAACTCTGTGTGCCACACGGCCTCGGAGAGCTAGCCTGCCTGGCCGGGAGAGCGCCTTCGCCAGCCCCTCGCAGAGCCGCCCGGCCCCGCCTGCCCTGCCCTCGCCTGCGCTCCCGGGGCCCTGCCAGCACCCGCAGATTTGCCTCTATTTATTGGCTCCCTCTCCCTGCACCGAGCTGCCCCGGAGCCGGGGGGCCTCGGCGGGTGGCTGCATGCAGGGCTGTCCTGGGGCTCCCCGCAGCCCTGCCGCACCGGTGGGTGCTCTTTACCTGCTTGTGCCTCCCCCCTGCCCGCCCTCCCCGGGGACGGGGGAGCCACCTCCCACCCACCCGGAGCGATCTGGGGGGCCGGCCCCGCTGGGACGCTGTGCAATAACCCGCTCGTTTAAGCCATTGGTGTCAGGGGAGGCGGGGGCGCTCCCCCCCATGGGGTAGGGACAGGGATGTTGCCACTCTGCCCTGCCCCCGTGGGACCACCTCTCCCCGGTGGGGCCTCCAGCCGCTCTCTGGTGCCCAGGGGACCCCGGTCCCGGTATTCACGTCCCGGGCGACGAAGGATGCCCAAGGTGCCCCGTGCCCCCGCCACCTCCTGTCCGTCCCCCCCTCCTGCCGCCACTGCATGTCCCGCCGAGTCTGTGATCGAGCCTGGCGAAGCCGAAGCGCGGCTGCGCGCGGAGTGAAACTTATTTTAGCACTGAATAGAATATTTTTAAAATTAAACTATTTGAAATAACAGTGCCCGGTGTCGGGGGGGGCAGGGCCTGGGGGGCCGTGCTGAGCTGATGTGTTCCCTCCAGGAGGGCAGCGCTGAGCACGGTGCTGTTGTCCCACTGGGCACGGCCGAGAGCCCTGCACAGGGCAGAGGTGGTTCTGCAGGTCTCAGCAGGCGCCCATCGTTAAATCAGCAGCAGGCACGAAGGCAGGATCACATCACAGAACCAGGGAGGGAAGTGGGTTCCCATCCCACGCTGCCAGTGCCTGTGATATCTTGTTTTCTGCTGCCGGTATCTTTGTGAGCACTGTGGTGCTCTTACGGCTCTGGAGGTGGTAGCGGGAGTCTGAGAGATGAGACAAACTGTAACCCAAATGAGCGGCCACTTCTCTTGCTGCTGGGAACACGGAGCCCAGCTTGCTCTTCAACACTTCACCTGCAATGCCCAGTGTTTCCACTGCAGTTGTGCGTGCAAGGCCTGGATTCCCTCCTTCTTCCCCTTGGTCACCTTTCCTTCTCCAGCCTTTCCCCTCTCCTGTCCCATTTTGATTTTTGATTCTTTTTGTGCATGTCATGGAATCACAGAATCCCAGCCTGGTTTGGGTTGGAAGGGACCTTAAAGCTCATCCAGCCCCAACCCCTGCCACGGGCAGGGACACCTTCCACTAGAGCAGCTTGCTCCAAGCCCCTGTGTCCAACTTGGCCTTGAACACTGCCAGGGATGGGGCAGCCACAGCTTCTCTGGGCACCCTGTGCCAGCGCCTCAGCACCCTCACAGGGAAGAGCTTCTGCCTAAGAGTTCATCTCAGTCTCCCCTCTGGCAGGTTAAAGCCATTCCCCTTGGCCTGTCCCTACAGGCC